GTTTTTATATGTGGATAGAACAATAGTACAAGGAACGGCCGTCATGCTGGCCGTTGAACAATAGCAAGTGGAATAAAAGAAAGAAAGCGAGGACAATGTGATCGCTGACACCTCCCCTTTGCCAGCGGGTTTTGTAAAGACATGAGTTAGTGTTCATGAAATGTTTTACAACCAACAATACGAATTAGTCCTCGAATATGATCATAAATTATTTGTTCAGTTGGTAGAAGTATTCTAATATACATAGCTTTGTCAGTTCCCTACCAACAACATGCACATATAAAATCAATAGGATGTGTTATACAAGTTAATAATTGTCGATTCCAATAATCAACAGTATAACTATGTATAAGAATTATTTGTAAATAATTATTAGAAATAAAAATGAACATGTTTTTATATAAAATAATTGTTTAGCTGTAAATATTGATTGTGAAAGTTTTGATTGACATAAATAAAATTTATATTTCTCAGTTAGAAGATAATCATGTCCTATACGTTGACATATATGAATAAAAATAGGTAATGTTTCAAATTTAGTATATTCATGAATTAAATATGAAAGATTTTCAAACCAACGATTAATAATAATAAGATATGGATCATTACCAATACAATTGTGGTATATAGGGAAAGAAAAAAATGTTGAATTATATACGAGAATCGTCGTCATAGGCCAAAGTAACGGGACGTAAATCCGATACATGATAAGAACGTTCGATCCCAGTTGATAGATGACGAACGATATAGGTGGGGTGATTGACCTGCACAATGATTTGAGGATCAGCTGAATAATGAGGATCAAGTTTCGTACGACTAGTAAAAACTTTTGTAAAAACACGATCACCAATGTTATAATGAGGATCACCACGATGACGATCATATCGAGTTTTGTTGGAAGATTGTTGAGCAAGAATATTATTTTTTGCCTGTTGATGATAAACATTAAGAATTTTTTTTAGATGAACGAAATGATCATTTGGACGATCAAAAGAAAAGATGCGAGGAGGAGAATCAATCGGAAGTTGAGGAGCACGACCAAATAACAACTCAAATGGAGAAAATTGAGTGGTTTTGTGTTGAGAAATATTATAAGCGAATACAACAGCATCGAGGTAATCATCCCAGTTGTTATGATGTTGTTGTTGGAGTTTGGAAACTTGAACGACCATAGATGCGTTGAACCGTTCCACAATTCCATTCGATTGAGGATGATAAGGTGTGCTAAAAATGTGATTATACCCAAGAAGATGTTGAAAGGCATTCATGAGTTGGTTATTGAAATGTGTGCCTTGATCAGTAATGAGAGTAGAACAAACACCGTATTTGCAGAAGATATAACGAAAAAGAGTTAAAGCTGTAATAGCAGCTGTATTTGAAGGTAAAGCAATAGCTGTAACAAATCTGGTAAATAAATCAGTAACAACAAGAACATATTTATTGTCATTAGAAGAGGTAACGAAAGGACCACAATAATCCATACCGATAATAGAAAACGGAACAGCAGTAGGCGGAACAGGATGAAGATGACCAGGTGGTCGCTGCCGAGAGATGTTGTACTGTTGACAAGGAATACAAGCGCGTACATGTTGTTGAATAGTGTGACGCATGCGAGGCCACCAATAACGAAGACGAAGCTTAGAAAACATTTTATCGACAGAAAAATGACCACCTTGATATGGATCATCATGTGTTGCAATCAGAAGAGATTTGACCATCGAAGATGGTAGATAAGGCACAGCTAATTTACGTGTAGATGTAGGTGTACGAGAAATAAGTTTATGAAGAATATTATTTTTAATGATAAACGAAGAAGTTAAAGAAGATGAAGCAGTACGATCAGTAAGTTGTTGAAAGATACGATGAAGGTCCGGATCACGTTGTTGTTCATGTGGTAAGGCAGAAACATCGAAAGAATTTGGTGAAGGTGCAGTAGTAAAAGGTGATGACACTAAAGTAGATGCTTCTGATGAACAAATCGAAACAGCATCAGAAGAAGGTGAGCCGAGATCAGGAACGACAGGGGTAGATATTTGAATCTGTTTCGGACGAGGACGAAGAGTCATAGCCGAAATTTGATCCAACTGATGAAACGAAGAAGAAGTGGAAGCGTTCGCAGCTGTAAGTTTACTTTCAAGACCATACGGAATATCAAAAAGTGGATCAGCCAAAGTACGAGAAAGATAATCAGCGAGACAGTTGCTTTTACCGTCAACATGTTTTATTTCAGCTATTTGATATTCTTGAATTAAATTAGCCACACGTTCAATACGACGATTATTAACAGGTTTTCGTAACATGCCACAAATGGGACAATGATCAGTATGAATATAAACAGTTCGACCAAGGATAAGAGTTCGCATTCGTTGAAGACAATGAAAAATAGCTAAAGCTTCCTTTTCAGGAACTGAATATTTTTGTTCGACAGGAGAGAGAACCTTGGAATGATAAAATAGATTATGTCGTTGACCATGAATATCTTGAAATAATACACCACCAGTTGCTATACCACTAGCATCAGTAGCTAATTGAAGAGGGAAATCATCAACAGGAAATCGAAGGAAAAGAGGTGCAGTGGTAAGCACTTGTTTAAGAGCATGAAATGCAGTGGATTGTTCATTCGTCCATTGAAACAGATGGCGACGAGCTTTAGTTAAATTAGTAACCTTATGTATGGGTTCAGCAAGAGCAGCAAAGTGTGGAACAAATTTGCGATAATAGGCAAGACCACCAAGAAATTTATTAGCTTGTTTTAGAGTACGAGGTTCGGGTAAATCTAAAATAGCTTGTATAGCATCAGTTGTAGGTGTAATAGATGTTGCAGATATAGTATGACCAAGAACAACAACTTTTTCCACTGCTAATTCACATTTCGAAACATTAAGAACGAGTTTTGCAGCAGCCAAAGTGTCAAGAGCCAACTGTAAATGACGTATATGATCGTCGAATGTTCGTGAAAAAAGTATAATATCATCTAGAAAAACTTGACAAAATTCACGACAAGGTCTCATAACCTGACACATTGTTTTTTGAAAAGCAGCTGGAGCATTTTGTGGACCCATTGAAAGAACTAAAAATTCATAATGACCTTGAGAAACAACGAAAGCAGTTTTAGCACGATCAGAAGGCGGTATTCGAAATTGATGATAACCGGATTTTAAATCGAGTTTACTAAAGTATTGATAACCCTTGCCCAATTCTTGTAATAAATCTTCTCCATGTGGAAGTGGACTAGCATCAGGAATTGTTATTTTATTTAAGGCACGATAATCTACCACGAGACGACCAGGACGGTTATCCTTACGAGGAACAATAAAAGCTGGAGCGGCATAAGGAGAATTGGATTCTTGAATAAGCCCAGCCGCAAGAAATTCGTCAATAAGATGTTGAGTTTCTTCACGAGTATGTGGATTTCGATGCGGACGAGACGCAGGTGGTGTATGTGGGACAGTATTGAACACATTGTGAATGACAATATCAGAGATATTATGACGTGAATTATCAAAAAGTTTCGAATATTGAATGAGAAGGGAAGAGAGTTGATGTTGTCGATGTGGATCAACTAAATGTTTGACTAATAAATCCATATTCTGCTGTAAATGAGTTGGTAGTGGAATAGTATCAGCACGCATAATTGACATGCACGGTAATGGTAATACAGCAGGAGTTTGAGCTGGAGGAACAGTGCAAGATGAAAGTTGACGATTCTTTTTTTCATTTTGACAACGACAAAGTGTGGCAAGTTGATCGAAATAATTTTGCTGTCGAACTTGATTACTTAGTAAATATCCGAAACAAAAATACCGAGGTAATTGTTGTGGAATAGAAGATTGATTAAACACACGAAGAGATGCAGAATGATGCTGAATTTGGATGGTTGTTTGCGAAGATGATAAAGATGGATGTTCAAGAAAAGTAGATGTTGGAATAAAATAAGCCGATAAAGAAGAGATAGGAGACGAAATCCTAACATTGACACTTGATTGAGGAGGAATAATAGTAAATTGACTAGCATGAATTGGAACGAGTGGCCGACGTAAGGGATCATCTACTGGAATGATAACACGTTGATTAGCAATTTTAATGGAGAAATGTTGAGAATGTACATCGATAATGGCATGAAAAGCAATCATAAAATCCATACCAAGAATAAGATCGACACAAAGTTTCTCAGCAGTTAATGCATAAAATTGTATACATTCCGAGTTAAAGCTCATCGAAAGTTCGACCAAACCAGTACTGTTAAGGGGAATAACTCCATCAGCCAAGAGAAAGGAACGAGGGTGACGGTCAGCATAGTGAACGTTTGATAATTTTTGAAGTGCATGTAAATTAATACAAGTAGCCGACGCACCCGTATCAATAAGAGTATACAGCGGAGAGCCATTAACAGATAAAGTAGCATAAAGAAGAAATGGTTTGGATGGGTTAAAAGCAGAGACGTAGGAGACAGTACCATCCACTACTGACTCCAGTTCCAGAAAGGACAGGCACGAGCAGAATGTCCATCGTTAGAACAAAGTTGGCAACGAATTGTAGGTGTAGGTGATGAAGATGTAGCAGGTAGTGACGTGGGAGATGCATTTGCATCAGGTATGGACATAAGTGGAGTCAGATTTTCTGAGGATTGTGAGGATTGAAGTGTTGTGGATGAAGACGTCGATGGTTGAAAAACAAAAAGATTCTGTCGAGGAGTATTGAAACGAGGGTTGTTGGTCCCACGTACAGACCGAGGTTGAAAAGGTCGACGTAAAGATGTTGCCGATGATGGAGTGGATAAACGTGGAGTAGGTGTAGATGAAGAAGGTTGTGAAGAATAATGCGAAGGATTATAAGAACGATAACCATATTGTTGAGAAGGATTATAAGATGGGCGTTGGTGACGTTGGAAAGACGAACTAGAATATGGAGTAAATGAAGTAGTGGTTGGTGCAGGTGTAAAAGAATTCGTAGATTGATTATTTTGTTCAATAGCAGCCAAAACGAGATAAGTATTTTCTAAATCTTTTGCCATCAGTTCAAATTCATCAGGATCCTTGGGCTTCTGTTTCAATAAATCTAAACGATAACTAGGATGAACTTTAGCTAATAATAACTCCAATTTCATGGTAGAACTCATTTCGGGATCTGCTTCAAGAAAAAGCTTGCGCATTTCACTGCAGAAACTGCGGATATCCTGTTGTGGAGATTGAGTATACGAATGAAGTTTTTGCATTGCAATACGTGCACGATTTGGAGAATCAAATGTACGTTTAAAGTGTTCTACAAAATCCGACCAAGAATGATTGAGTTTAGATTTGTTATCATCGAACCAATCAAGAGCACCCTTTTCAAGAAGTTGTGATATAAAATCGAACTTTTTAACATCTGGAATACCAGCTGTTTCAAATTTATTATTAATATTTTTAAGCCATTTAATGACATCTTGTCGATTATCACCAGTAAATTTTGAAGTGTTCCGTTGTAAATCTTCGATAATAGTTTTTCGAATATCATTTTGTGTTAATTCATCAATTGATTGAGTAAAAGAAAATGTTGTTTGAGTAGCAGGTGTAGAAACTGTTGTAGTAGGTGGAAGTTGAGTGGAAGTTAGCACAGATGGTGTATCGTTCAATGTCAAGGAGCCAATAGAATCAAGTGTTGAAACAGTACGTAGAGGAATAAGTACATGGTGTTTATGTAAGAATAATTTTCGAAGATCGTAAAAATTGAAAATTATATCTTCATGAGCTAGATAAAAATCAAGAGCATCATCAGTTAAAAGATGACGAATGATAAATGGATGATCGGTTTCGGGGTATCCTTCCTTAAGAATGAAGGCACTGGTTTCTTTCAACCACGTAGTGAGTTGTTCAGGATCACCATTGAAAGTTGAACAGTTATCCAACAATTTACGTGTATATTCTATTTCATCTTCACGTGAAGAAAAGGAAATTTGATAAGGTTTTTTAACTGGTGTAGGTACGTTTGTTGCCATAGATGTAGAAGATGAAAAAGATGGTGGAGGTTGAAAATGAGTTAGTGGTTCAAGAAGTTGTTTAGGTGGACTTTCGTCGTCGTCAGAAGACATATAACAACCATAAAATTAATTTAATTGATTGTAACTAGAAAAGTTCCCGGGTCACGGCACCAAAATGTGAGCTTTCTCTTCGAAATGACCTGAACCTTGTCTCTTGGTAAGT